GCTTTTTCAGGTGGCTTTTAGTGGCTATAGGAGCTCAGAGACCTCTTGGAGGGCTGTGGTCTGTCCCAGTTCTGCACTAAGGTACAGCCTGCTGCTTGCTGCAGAAGTAACTTGTTACGTGCAGCTGCTCCCAGGAGTTTGAAGTTTGGTCGAACTCATGATGTTAGCAGCTGAGAATGAGGTTTGGCCTATCTGCCTGCTTAAAGGGAAAAATCTGAGCTGAGAAAAGCAAGTTTGTAGAAGCTTAAGGGGCATCAGTTCAGTGAAGCACGGGGGTGCCTGATTTTTGGCTGGCTTTGATTCCTGTAAACTAAGTCTTGGCTGTTCTCAGCACAGCTGAGATGCTTCACTGAGCTTCCAGGCATCGCCCCCCTGAAGCACAGCGTTCCTGCATGGCGTGGTGCTGCCAGTGCATCAAAGCTGAGCATTACAGACCTGACCCTGTGTCTCAGTAGCTCTGGTTTGGGCTTGGCTGCATCATGGCCAGGAGCTGAGTGTCCGTGTCTGCTCTGCAGCCAAAGTTGCTTCCTCATCCCATTATTGCTCAGCGCGTGAGAAGAGGAAGCTTTGATCCTGGCTGCCTTTCATTTCCTCAAAACGAGAGGAGAAAAACCTCTCAGTGTCTGTTCTGCCATTTTCCACCCTCACGTGGCAGAGCTTCAGGAACTTTTGATCTTGGGCCCTGTCCCTCCTGCCCCACAGAGTTGAGATCCCATTGGGCTCTCTGGTGCTGGAGAGGCTCAGAAGTTGGGGTGCACCAGACTGGGAACAGGGCTGACAGCAGCACTTGTGCCCACTGCTTTGGGGTGGAAAAGCAGCAGGGTGTTGGAAGGACGTAGGTGCCTTTGTACCTCCTCCCCTTATCTTTTCATATAAGAAATTGCTGTTGGCAAGGATAAAAGCAACTGGGGGGCTGCGTGAATATTCATGGCATGAGCATGTGGCCACAGAACATCGTGGCTTTGGCTTCCAAAGAGAGGATGCAATTTGGTGTATGGGTGTCTTTCAAGCTCAGACTTCAAACCCAGCACCATTAAAACCCCTTGGAACGAATCCCTGCGGGAAGCACGGCCGTTCCCCCTGAGGCAGAGGCTGCAGCTGGCACTTCAGCTCTGTTTTAGGGGAAGGAGGGGGTTCATTCTGTTTGCTGGGAGCCCACAGAGTGCTGTGGGGGTGGGCTGAGGATGTGCTGCCCAAAGCCTGCTGCTGCAGGTGCTCTTGGAGCATGAATGCTGCGGAGTTTGCAGCTACTCATTGGAAGCTGGAAGGAGGCTCCTGGGGGATTTTCCTTTGCTGCAAATGTTCCCCCCTAGGCTGTGCTCAGGGGGCAGAGGGGCTCTGACTGCTTACTAACCACGCACATTCATTCAGGGTGGGCTTTTCCCCACGCCTCCTCTTTTTGTGGGCTCTCTGAGGTTTTACAGCTCCCCAGGTGTGAGGCAGAGACCTGGGGGGTGCGGGGGAGATGGGGCTGGGGATGATTCTGTGAGCAGCACCCTTCTGCTGGGTGCAGCCCTCTGTGGCAGCATATATATTCATTAGCTCAGTGAAAAGCCTTAATTGCTTGGGGAGCTGTTGCTGGAAGCACGCAGCTTTCTGTTCAAAGCTCAGAGAAAGTTGCAGGGTCAGCTTGCAAGCAGTGGCATGGGACAGCTTTGCTTCAACAGCTCCAAGCTCAGAGCAAGGTCCTGCTCCTGGAGTAATGTGTCCAGACGTGGAGTCCTCAGTACAGGAGAGACATGGATCTGTTGGATTTCCTCCAGAGGAGGACCACAAAGTGATCCGAGGGATGGAGCACCTCCCCTAGAGGACAGACTGAGAAGAGAAGGCTTAAGGGAGATTTTTATGATAAGAGTGGTGAGGCACTGGCACGGGTTGCCCAGAGACGTGGTGGTGCCCCATCCCTACAGACACCCAAGGTCAGGCTGGAGGGACTCTGACGGAGCTGTGGGTGCCCCTGTTCAGTGCAGGGGAGTTGGACCAGATGGCCTTTAATGGTCCCTTCCAACTCAAACGGTTCTGTGATCCTATCAGCTCCTGACCACCCCATTGCCCTCTCCCCTCCCCAGGCGTGCTGGCCATCCTCATCCCCCGCCTGGACATCGTCATCTCGCTGGTGGGCTCGGTCAGCAGCAGTGCACTGGCTCTCATCTTCCCCCCGCTGCTGGAGATCGCCACCTACTACACAGAGGGCATGCACCCTCTGCTCATTGCCAAGGACGTGCTCATCAGCCTCTTCGGCTTCGTTGGCTTCGTGGTGGGCACCTACGAGGCGCTGGTGGAGCTGGCTACTCCTGCTACTGTCATCAATGGCACCAGCACCTCGGGGCAGTGACGGTCCCTGCTGGTGGTGGCACGCAGACCGGGTGCTCAGCCTTCTCCTCCTGCAGAACGTGGTGGGTTTGGGCTGCGAGGGGTGTGGGTGGCACAGCACTCATCCCCTCCACACTCCTGTACGTAGTTACTTTGGGGAGGGGGGATCCTGGGGGTGTAGACTTTTATTTTTTATTTTGTAATGCTTCCCATATTGCCCCCATCCCATCGCTCTGGGACTGCTCTTCTCTGTGCCAGTTTGTTGTTTGTTTGTTTGTTTTTTTTTGTCTTGTTTTGTTTTTATTTTCCCCCCTTCCCCCCCACCCCTCAGCACTTTATTTTACAGCAACAAAGAAACCTCAGCTCAGGTTGGAGGTGCAGAGCTGCCTCCTCACCCCGGCCCTCGGGGATGTAGAGCAGCGCTGGGTATGAGCACTGCTGGTGCAGGTCCTGCTGTGCTCTGGTTTCCAGCTCTTTCGTGCAGAGAGGGCTGCCGTGGAAGGTTCTATTTGTTCACTTTTTTTTTCCTCCCTACACACATATACCCCTCATGGTTTTTGGCATTAGGAATTCAGGTGTGCAGAGCCCACGCTCTGCAGAAACACAGCGCCTTGTTTGCTGCGCTCTGGCTGCATCTGCAGTCCTCCACTGAATGTCACATCCCCAATAAGAACACTGATCATGTTGTTTTCCCTCCTGGCCCCAGTGGCAGCTCCCAGCAGGAGGCAGCCCATTGCACTGCTCCCTCCTGCTGCTGGTACTGGGGCAGGTGCACGCTGGGGGCACAGACTCTGGCCTTGCCACACTTTGCCTTTCTGCTGCTTCTTTTTTTTTTTTTTTTTTTTTTTTGAAGGCAGATGAGAGCAAATGAGTCCTCCATTGGGTATTTCATGGTGGTGCTGTTGCACTCAGCTGGGGAAAGGCACACAGAATGGTGTGCACGCAGCCAGCAGGGCTCTAGGCTCCCTGCAGGTGGGAGAGGCACAAAATCCGTGCCCAGCGCTGGCACTGCTGTCCCCTGGGAGGGGATGGCTGGCAGTCCCAACAGGAGGGATGGCCCTGTTCTGGGGTACAGCTGTGTGATGGCTGTGTCCCCAGCACTGGGGTTGCTGGGTTTGCTGGAGTGGTGCATAGCACTGAGCTCGCTTTGCACTCACAGGGCACCGTGGCAAAGTTAAGCAGTGTCCGGTGGAGTTTTTTGGTTTTATTGGGCTAAAGCACAGTGGGCTGGTGGGAAACACATGGGTTACCAGGAGGACCTGGTACGGGACCAAGGGGACACAGAAATGTGACACTTGTGTGTTGTAGCTGCTCTGTGACCAGGGGAATTGTGTATATACAAAGGTGATTAATGTCTGTGTTGTGTGCCTATGGATATTGTCAGTGTGGGTCGCTGCCTACTGCTGCAGCACCTGAATCATGTATCTCACTTTAATCAATAAATAAGAGTTATTTTTTACGTGGAAAGGCTCTGGGATGAGGTGGGGTTTCTCTCCCCCACACCCAGAGGAGCAGGAAGGCTGGGAGATGTGAGGGGACCTCAACGGGGTGCTGGGGCAGCAGTGTGCTGTCAGCACCAGTGACTTCCTATGGCTTTGGGAAACGTGGCCTTGCTTGCAAGTGCTGCATCAGTGCAGTGCTGGGGTTCTGCTGTGCAGACTGAGGTGGTGTTCTCAGGGCAGCCCTTTGCTGGAGCCACAGTCCGAGTTGCAAAGGAATCAGAGTTATTTGATGAAATCATAATAGTAAAAAACAAAACAAACAAAAAAAACCAATTCTTTTAATACTTTGCAAAAAAAAAAAAAAAAAATCAATGAAACAGCAAAACAAAATATTACATCAAACAACCGACCAAAGTAAACCTCTCACAAAAAACAATACAATCCCAAGCAGGAGGACGGATGGGCCAGCCTGTGGGCAGCACTTAGTGCCCGTCCTGGAACCCACATGGGCACAGTTTGTTTGGTCCATTTGGGATATAACAGACCCAGGACCCCTTGCAGGGGGTGGCAAGGCTGGGTACTGCTGTCGCCAGCTGGGGGCCAAGAGCTGCGGGTATGGCTCTGTGCCAGTCTCTGTGCCTGCAGCCCTGGGGCTGGGTGCCCTGCAGCAGGTTTCAGTCTGCTCCTTGGTGCTTGGTTCTTCTGTAGAAATGGATTTAAGTTTATTTTCATGGTCTTCTTTTCGCCAAGTGAGGATGTGCTGGTGGCACTGGCTGCATATTCCTATCTCTCACCCTGGGGAACAGATGGAGAAGAGGCTGTGCACCAATTGCACCGTCCCACTGAGCAAACCATCGCCCTGATGCAAACTCTCAGTGCCAGAGCTGGATGCAGGATGACCTGCGTGCCACCTGGGCTTGGCCATTGCTGGTCCTTCCGTGCCTCTTCCACCACTGCTGTCCCTGTGGTGCTGCTCTGCTCCTCCCCATGGCCGGGCAGCACAGGGTGGGAGATGTGCGGTGCCCACGAGGTGCGTTAGTCATTGGCATCCAGGAGCATCCTCCACGTCCTGGCTGTGGCTGGAGCATTTCCCCTCTGTGTGCAGTGCAGGGACAAGGATCCAGCCAAATTACAGCCCAGCCATGCAGGGGGAGATGCTGCAAGCTGGGCCAGGGGAACTGCAAGTCCCCTGGTACCATGTGCCAGCTCCGGCGCTTCTCCTCATCCCAAGGACGAGTCCCTCCGTTAGAACATCACCTCCTCACAGCTGCCGTAGTCGCTCTCCACCATGTCGGAGCCCTCATAGTTGGGGGGTGGTGGGGGCTGGGTGCGCAGGGCGGGCGGATGGGCCCCCACCTCACAGTCGGCATAGGAAGGTTGGGCCACGCTCAGCCGCATGCTCACCCGCTTGTAGCCGGGGTCGGGTGGGTAAGGGGCACCTTCACCCTGCACCAGCTGGGCTGGGTAATAGCTGATGGCTGTGTACTCGTTCTGGCACTGGGATGCTGCCGTCTCCACGGGGCCCAGCGGTAGGAGATCCTCCAGATTCTGGTTGCTGTAGCGGGGAGGGATGGGTGCCCGCTTGTTGCTTTGGTCCAGTGGAAAAGGGAAACCCCCATAGAGAGTGACTGGCTCCGGGTCTGCTGGTGGAGGGGGTGGGGGGGGGAGTGGGGGGTGGGAGGAGGGCACGGCAGGGGGACCTTGGATGATCTCGTAGTGGGAGTATTCCTGGACATCAGAGGAAAGGTAGCGTGGCGGCCAGTAGGTTGTTTCTGCTGGGTACACTGGAAGGAAACAGAGCTGTGTTAGCTGTGTGGGCTGCTTTCTTCCTCCTGCTAATTCCTGCTGCATGAGCCTGAGCTGCAGGAGATGTGCCAGTTTGCCTTGGGAATGAAGGGGGCTTCGGGGCTCCCACTGGTACCTAAAAGGCACTTCTTATCGTGCCACATGGGTGCAAGAAGCTGGCACAATGATGGGAGGGGGCAGAGCAAGTGACGCACTAGAGCTCTCCCTTTGTACCTCTCTTTCTATCTCTGGTATAATCTGATTTTAGGGTGGCCCTGTGTGGACTTGAAGTTGGACCTGGTGATCCTCACGGCTCCCTTCCAACATGGGATAATCTATGACTCTGACTTGGGCACTTCCTTCTGGCAGCTGTCCTTGATGCTGCTGAGCTCCCGGTGAGCTCTGGGCCAAGCAGGGACCTGGCTGCCTGGGGCTGTTTCTCTCTGCTGTGATCCCTCTGGCAGCTGATGCAAGGGATGCCACTAAAACTCACACTGAATTCCACTCTCTTATCATCACTTTTCTCTTTTATAGAGACTTTTTAGCCTGAGTGCGTGGGAACCCAGGCCATGCATTAATGCATTCCCTGCTGATTTTGTAGAGAACTGAACAAGCTGAAGTTGAATACTGCTATTTATGAGTGGGGGAAGAGCCAGTGAAGGACTTGGACATCATTGGCCCACGTTTTTCTCGTCTTTACCCCACACTGTTGGCCTTCCACATTCACAAACCTTCCATCCACTGCCCCAGGGATAAAAGCAAGAGCAAGCTGTGGCTACTGACCCATCTCCTCCCTGGCCCAGGTGCACTTGACGAAGGACTCGTTGTCAGAGTTGGACGGGGGGGCCGGGGGCAGGTTGGGTGCCACACTGCACACAATGGTGCCGCGATGCTTGGGCCCGTTGGCCGAGTTGAAGGTGACAAACTCAGGGGTACCGCTGGCTTTGCGCTGCTCCGGCGCCGCCCGGTCCAAATTGTTGTGGGCCGCGTCGCTGAGGATGTTGAGCTCGATGGGCGGCACCGCTTGGGTGCCCACACCCACGCTCTTGGAGAACTCGCTCTTGGACAGCAGGTCAGGGTCCTCCCTTGCCACCGGCTTGTGGGCCTTGGCCCTGTGCCGGTAACGCTTGCGGATGAGCACGAAGGCCACGGCCAGGATGGCTGCCCCCAGCACGCCGGCTGCGATCTCAGCGATCTCCTCAGGGCCCACGGCCCAGTGCGTGGGCACGATGGCAGGCGTGATGATGGGCTGCGTGCAGTAGTCCCCCTGGTAGTCCGATGGGCAGATGCAGCGGATGGAGCCCTGGGTGCTCACGCAGCGCCCAGCGTTGTGGCACGGGTTGTCCTGGCATTCCTCAGCCAGCTTCTCACACCTGGGGGGATGGAGGCAGAGGCATCAGCCTCGGGG